GTTGGGTTACCTCGCTCAGAATGTTTTCTTCTAGTTTCATCCATTTTCCTGGAAATTTCAAGATTCCATTGTTTTTTTTTTCCCCCACTGAGTAGTACTCCATTGTGTAAATGTACCACATTTTCTCTATCCATTCTTTGGTTGAGGGGCATCTAGGCTGCTTCCAGTTTCTGGCTATTACAAATAGTGCTGCTATGAACATTGTTGAACAGGTGTCCTTGTGGTATGAACGTGTTTATTTGGGTATATGCCTAAGAGTGGAATTGCTGGATCTTGTGGTAGACTGATTCCCATTTTCTTGAGGAGTTGCCATACTGATTTCCAAAGTGGCTGTACAAGTTGGCACACCCACCAGCAGTGGAAAAATGTTCCCCTTTCTCCACATCCTCTACAGCATAAGTTATCATTGGTGTTCTTGATTTTAGCCATTCTGACTGGAGTAAGATGGTAGCTCAGAATTGTTTTGATTTGCATTTCCCTTATAGCTAAGGATGTTGAGCACTTTCTTATGTGTCTTTCAGCCATTTTAGATTCCTGTATTGAGAATTGTCTATTTAGTTATGTACTCCACTTTTTATTTGGTGTTTTGAAGACTAGTTTCTTGAGTTCTTTGTAAATTTTGGATATCAGCCCTCTGTCAGATGTGGGGTTGGTGAATATCTTTTCCCAATCTGTGGGCTGCTGTTTTGTCTTATTGACTGTGTCCTTTGCCTTACAGAAGCTTCTCAGTTTCAGAAGGTCCCATTTATTAATTGTTGATCTGAGTGTCTGTGCTACAGGTGTAATGTTCAGGAAGCTGTCTCCCGTACCAATTCATTCAGGGTACTTCCCACTTTCTCTTCTAAGAGGCTCAGTGTGGCTGGGTTTTTTTTTAGGTCTTTTATCCATTTGGACTTAAGTTTTGTGCATTATGATAGACATGGATCTATCTGCAGTCTTCTACATGCCAGCATCCAGTTATGCCAGCACCATTTGTTAAGATGCTTTCTTAATTCCATTGTATATCTTTAGGTTCTTAAAAAATCAGGTGTTCATAGGTATGTGGGATAGAGGGATACTCCCTCAGCCTAGACACACAGGGGAGGGCCTAGGCCCTATTCCAAAGGATATCCACCCCCCAAATTATAAAAAAAAATAGGTTTCCATATTTCCCATATGCCTTCTTCAATTACAGAATGGAAAATTAAAATATAGTATCTATACACAATGGCACTTTTCTCAAAAGATAAGTGAAAATTTCAGGTAACTGGATGAGACAAACTGAGAGGGTTAACACAGATATAGTATGTCTCAATCATGACATGTTCTTTCTCATATGATGACACCACCAGATTCTACACCAGCAAGACCTAAACATCCCAACACATGTGAAACAGAAGAGAATGACCTTAAAACAACTTTAAGAAAATGATAGAGACCCTAAAAGAGGATATGGGAAAGTCCCTTAGAGAAATGGAAGAA